ATTTAAGAAAGTATAAACAGAAAGATATGCTTATAGATGTGTATATATATATATAGAAACATACTGAAAAAATCAAGTGTATATGTTTAAACACGAAACCGTATATATTGTTCAGCCATTCCTCAATTTACTCCAACCACGATTGCTATCGCACAACGTTCGTCGATCGTCCGCACAAATGTGCGCAAACAACGATCGTCCAATTTTTTATCGTTCACACACCGTTCACACATCGTGCGTACACCCCACATCGTGTAACGTTGTGCGATCCCACAACTGTAATTTCGACCAATCGTAAGCCTCCGTGTAGTTGCTATGGCAACAAAACTAATGCGGTTGAATTCGCAGTCCTCTAATACCCCTATATACCAATTTTTATCAAAGTCCAACAATATCTAAATTTTGACCAATCAGAGGCCGTGGCGGCCATCTTTGTTGACCGATCGAAATGTCATTTGCACACCCCCTGACCATGATGAACACTTCTGTAAAGTTTCATTTAGTTCCATCCAATAGTTTTCGAGAAAAGTGTCGGAAACTTTTACGGCGGACACGAGAAGAACAATAATAATAACTAGAATTGCAATTGCGAGCAATAACGGAAGTCACCCACTTATGATATTTAAAAGTTTAAATGTGTATTTTTTCCTGAATTGTGAATTTTATTTAGCTTGAAAAATGAACATATAAAAAGTGAGTTTTTCTTCAGTTATTGAAAGTTTTTTCGGAAATTTAGTGTGCATGGACCTAGATTATGTTTGAGAAATATTGGAGGATTATTATTTTAATGCTAACGGAATGCATTATTGAATTTGATACACAGTTTGGTGTGGCAGCCATATTAACAGTAGTGGGAAAACATGCATGGAGAAAAGAAACATTGTACTCCTTTAATTTTTATTTATTTTTTATTCATGTTAACATATGTAGTGACTTTATTTACTGTAATTGCATATACAATTCATCATAAAATCTCGAAAATGTTCTTGGAATATATTTAAATTATATTTCTCAATGCGACTTACCAACGGAAGAGTAATTTCCCTTACACCGGATTGGATAATATTTTGACACAGCGCGAATTCTCGTCAAACAGCAGCGGCAGTTGTGTCATGTTCTTAAATTGTTACATTTTCATAAATAAATACACCAGAAATAGCATGCTGTGCAAAGAAATGTTTGATAAGCATACACAGTTCACATGTCGTCTCGTCTAAGAGCCACGTCCGTGGTAGCAACGATCGTTTATTACCGTTATCAACCTAAGCACGATATGTCATATTACGTTCCCGTTTGAAACATCAAAATAGAGGTTATACTTCATCACTCATACGGTTTATAAGTATATATATTTACATCTTCCTTGTACTTTCAAAATATGAAAAGCTAGACCGTACAGACAGCGTCAATGCTTGACAGTCTTCACACGTAATTTCTCGAATCGGAGTCACGAAAACACTTGAAACAAACACTCTTCAGACCTCAGTCCGAGTTGCTAAAGCGCTTAGTGCACGAATGAAACATTCCTGTTTGTATTTTGTTTTCACCACCACAACACTCGTAGAGTGCACCGGAGATAAACATTTTGTTTTCAACAATTATTTCAAGTTGTATTATTGTCAACGGTTGCTCAGTATAACAATAACTCTGACAAGTTGTTTTAAGTGTTTATCTTTCTTTAATGCTCTCCGAGAAACCTACAATACAGGACAATACAATAAATACATTTACCCTCTCATATACATACAATAATACTATACAACTTCCACGCCGACCGAGGTACCGGACCTCTGAATACTGACCGCTATAAATATAGTATTTCTTATAACTAAATGTTATAACCAAACGATAGTTATGCTATAATATGGTTATACGTACCGGGTATGATGTCCCTAGCCTGCTAATACATGCTGGCGGCAATGTATCTGTACGCCCTCTATATATTTATATACTCAATGGCTCAGCTCTATCCGTAATCTGATCCGTCTCTCACGAGTCGGATTGTAAGAATGACCACTGGGCAGTAAGTATCTACCCAGTAGCCAGAATATAGTGGCGGGAATATAGAGTGCTTTATTCGTGAGGGGCAGGTCCAGGGTCTACGTCGTAGGTACAATTCAGTCAGAATGTTGGAACAGAACATAACAACACAGGTACATGCATTCCGAACTGATGACGTCCCATACACTGTTTACGAGACGGGACAACACAATTGTATACAGACAGTTGACTGCACTCGTTGTATATATATATACACACCATATATATATATATCATATTATATAACACAAGGTTACATTATTATTTGGACAAGAGTATCAGAAGACACAGGTGAGTGTCAGAGATTCTACTTTCTATTTACAATAACGAAACTAAATGGCGGAAGCATGCACGACTGAATTATGCGCACGCACCCCGAACGGAAATGGGTCCGTCATTTCGTTCTCTGGACAGATTTGATAAGCCGCTCGGGCTCTCGCCAAGAGCGGCTTAAAAATGATACATGGTTTATTCAGTTGATAAGTCATTAACACTAAGGTCTTCATAAAAATAGCTCGCCGACGATGTAACCTGTCGGTCTGTTTTGTGATCAAAATGAATGCTACGAAATGACACATATTTAAATCTAATTAACTATAAAGACCATCAAAAGATTACGTTTTGTTCCCTATTTTGGTGAAGCAAACAGAGATCGAATAAGAACGGTAATGGACATACGAAACTGCCGACAATCATGGTTAACGTAACGTTTTGACAGCATATTGACGGGTAGCCGTATACGCCGTTACATCAATATTAAACATGTTTACCAACTCCTGGCAGGTTAATCAAATGAGCCGGGGATAAGAAAACCTTGTGGGTGAAAGATATGCTTTTTAAAATACAATATAAATGTTAGAGGACTGAAAGACTTCAAAATCGCAATCGCTGGATAACAAGTTTATACAACTCTAATTGATGACTAATCAAATGTTAGCAGGGTGTCATGTCTTGAAACGTTTCTTGAAAAATATTATGAGAAACAGAACATTACAACAAATCACAAGAAGTTTGGGAAGTTGAATGTCCTTTCGTAAAGGTTACTTATTTCTATAAATACCATGGAAAGGTTGTTTTTTCTATTTGACTTTGAGTATCAAAATTGTCCTAATGCTTAGTTGATAATAAAACACTATGATACATTCTAACTCTGTTTGTTGAAACTTTTCTGATATTTTGTCAATGTACGCTGACGCTTTTGTACATTTTGTCAACGTACGCTGACGCTATTGTACATTTTGTCACTATATTTTGACGCTATTGTACACTTTGTCAATGTACGCTGACACCATTGTAAATTTTGTGCATGAATTTTGCCGCTATTGTACATTTTGTCTCTACATTTTTACGCTATTATACATTTTGTTAATATACGCTGACGCTATTGTACATTTTGTCACTATATTTTGGCACTATTGTACATTCTGTCACTATATGTTGGCGCTATTGTACATTTTGTCACAATATTTTGGAGCTATTGTACATTTGGCACAATATTTTGGAGCTATAGTACATTTTGTCACTATAGTTTGGCGCTATTGTTCATTTTGTCAATATATTTAGACACTATTGTACATTTTGTCAATACACTTTGGCGCTATTGTACATTTTGTCACTATATTTTAGCGCTATTGTACATTTTGGCAATGTAAGCTAACGCTATTGTACATTTTGTCACCCTATTTTTGCGCTATTTTACTTTTTGTCTCTATATTTTTGCGCTATTGTACATTTTGTCACTATATTTTGACGCTATTGAACAATTTGTCACTATATGTTAGCGCTACTGTACATGTTGTCAATGAATGTTCGCGCTAGAGTACATTTTGTCACTAGATTTCGACGCTATTGTATATTTTGTCACTATATTTTTGCGATATTGTACATTTTGTCATTATATTTTGACGCTATTGTACATTTTGTAACTATATGGTGGCGCTATTGTACATTTTGTCATGCATGTTAGAGCTATTGTACATTTTGTCACTAATTTTGGCGCTATTGTACATTTGTCACTATGTGTTGACGCTATTGTACATTTTGTCAATGTACGCTGACGCTATTTTATATCTGATCCCTATATTTTGGCGCTATTGTACATTTTGTCACTATATTTTGGCGCTATTGGATATTTTGTCAATGTACGCTGACGCTATTGTACATTATGTCAAAATGTTTTTAACGCTATTGTACATTATGTCACTGTATTTTAGCGCTATTGTACATTTTGTCAATGTACGCTGACGTTATTGTACATTCTGTCCCTATACGTTGACGCTATTGTGAAATTAAACCTTCTATATTGATATGAGAATCAGTGTCAGTTTACTATAGCAGCATATATTGCTTAAATTTATTCAAATAAGTTATTGCTGTTTGAGAAAAATAGGGCTGATTTATCCTTGGAATAATTTTAAATTGCGCTTTCTGTTCTCGTGAGAAACAATGGCATCGTAAAACAGTCTTGATTTTAATTATATGTTGACGTTTAGAAATGCGTTCATTTCTATATGGCCACTATTAACATTTATATTTCTTTGTAATGGTGAATTGCCCGATAATAATAGGCGTTGTTTCATGGCCTAACCTCTATTTACAAAAACACAAGATAATGGAATCAGAAAAAATATAAATAGAAAAAATGCATTTGATCAACATAGGATTTAATATTATATACCAAACAGATAGATACAATTATCTTACCATGATATTGGTATATTCATGTTTCTTATTACAGTAAAGGAACGATTATTAAAAAATAAACACTGATAACGAAGTCGGTTTGTGACCCTTATAACAAATGTCCACAAAATTCAAATGCCCATGATGTTCGTTGTAAAGACAATTATTATGCATTCACATGTAAAATCTTCATAGTATTGAAATTGCAAGCTTCATTTAAAATACTCTGTTAAATCCATGTATGTTGACTAATTTAGCAATTTTGTTGTGTGTTTCAGAAAAGATCTAGCAAACTTGCAGCATTTTTAATACTTGCGGCCTTCATTCTTGGGTTATGGTGCCGGGATATCGTCCATACGATTTTTAAGTCAAACGAACCCGCAGAGGATATTTACTTCATCACAGGTGGACGAAGCTACGTTGACCCGGATTTTAATGAATGTCGAGCCAAGGCACATCCAGGTTACATATCACGATACCCCCGGAAAAAGTGTGCGTCTAATAATACATACATAGACTTTGGTTCGACTATGACCGTCGAGCAATCCGTTCGTGTGAATGCATGTGTTCTAGATTACAAGGCAGAATTCAAACGACAACTCGAATTGGAGAAAAAGAATATGGCAGTACGTTGGTCTAGTCATCATTATCTGAACAAAAGCAGTTTTGTCATTGAGGTGGGGGGTTATAGCGGCTCGGACGCTGAACAATTCAACTCTCGGTATCACCCTGGTACTTACATTGTTCTGGAACCCGTTGCAAAGTTTTTTTGATATTTTGAGGAAAAGATTCTTTACCTCGCCAAACGTGGTGGTTTTCAATTTCGGAATCGATGTTAGTGATGGGGTATTTTATGTCAACGACGAAAGAAATGATGCCGCATCAATTTTCGAACAACATCAAATCGGCAAAGAGTGTAGGATTGTGAACGTCACCAAATTTTTCGAAAATATGTCAGTGAGGAAACGAGAGGTAGACCTGATAACGTTGAACTGTGAAGGATGTGAGTACGCTGTACTGGACCTTCTTCTCTCAACAGATTACATACGTCACTTCCGGAATATCCAGTTCCAACCTCATAATATCCCGAGAATATGTTATCCCATCCAGAGGTTCTGCTGGTATCAGGAACTTTTAAGAAGAACGCATAAACTCACGTTTCAATTCAAATATGTATGGGAGAGTTGGAGCCGGATATAGAAAAAAAAATTAATGCAAATAATGTTCACCCAAAGAATATTTTTTGTACAGCATAATGAATATGTTGTTCTACTAGCAAATACTAGTATGAGGTCAGTTTACATTCATATTTCATCATTTTAGCTTCTTTGTGCAGTATTTATCCGGCAATAAGCCCACGCTTGGTAATAAGCCCATCGATACATATTTCAGTTAAGAAGAGATGCCAACAAAAGCTTTTTCATTGTCCTATAATAAACTAATCCCTCTGGTTTCAGTGTTGACTCCCTGGGCTTATTGCAGGATAAATACGGTAAATAATATTAAACAGGCAAATACATTAATTGTCATTGAAACAGCAATACATTTCATGCTCATTTTTGTCTCTAAAGAATTTCATTGTCACTGAATAAAGTTCACGACTGTAGTTGATAGTGATCTGAACCCACTTAAAAACTGTTTCAAACATAAGTATGGTGTTCTTTATCAAACTGCTGAAACTTGTAACTTTTAACTTTCAGACTGTTCACAATATTCAGTTAAGGAAAATACGATACTAAATTATAAACAACTCGGGGAAATGTTCCCGAGACACTCGCTAGGTGAGTATATTTATTAAATCATAGCTTATCGTGCTTTTGTTATAGTAATAAAAACAGAGTAACATTTATAATGGTTGTGCATATATTTTGAACCCCTAAATTCCATCACGCTGGCGTCAAATTTCTACGTTGGTTATAAATACTGCACACAGCCCCAGATGCAGATAGAGATAACCTTCCTGGCCCCTTTTGTATTCAGGATGTCTCATACTATCAATTTTCGCTTGAAAACACTCTATTTATTGCCTCCTTCTATCTTCTTCATAGTTATAAAGACGTATTTATTTTTAGCTAATCTGAAAGGATTTGTTATGATGTTATTTTATATAATAATACTAATAATATACAGCATTTGATATAGCGCCCTATCTAGCTAACATAAGACACTCTAAAGCGCTTTACGTAGATATACAATTAATACAATTAGCATGAACGTTAATCGATACAATTTTGAGGAAGGCGCAGGAGCTGCCTTATCTGGCGCTTACTACTGGTCCTATGCCACCTGGCTAATATCCCCCTATGTGTGTATGCCTGCGTGTGTGCTGGAGATGTATTGTGTTCTGTTTGTAGTGGGACCGTGCTTACTACGGCATCATTTAAAGTGCCACCTCACTTGAATGCTACGGCACAGATACCGCAACATCCACCACAGACCAATGTATACTCCACCTGGGTTGTTGGAGTTGTGTGGGCAGGAGAAAAACACTTTCTCTGAATATCCATGCGTACGACGACTTCGGGGATCAAACCACGAACGCTTGCGTGTAAGGCCGGAGTGTTAATTACTCGACCAATCCGCTCAAAATATATCTTGACGTTAACATAGAAAAGCTATAAAAAAACTCATGATATCTGTTATCAGTGGATTACGCCTACGGCTGCTCCTTTTTCCTCTCAGCAATTATTCTTACATAGCAACAGTTATTAACTTTCTGTTAATACGTCATGACTTATTAAAAGATAATAACTCTGGTATTTTCTATAGTTTTATAGAATTTTCACAAAAATTTGATGTCAAAACTAACTTTCTCACATATCAAGGTATTATTAATACTATAAAAAAACTACATGTCCAATGATGATACTTTAAATACTTTGATTAGTTATCCATACATACCCTTAAATTTAGAAATATTTATGAGGCATAAAAAAGGAACTCAAGATTTTTATAAGTTGTTGTGCAAAAATAGTACCATATCCACTGGGAAAAACAAATGGAATGAATTATTTGAATTTGATGATGACACATGGAAATTGATACATATGCTTCCATTTACAGTAACTAGAAATTCAAAATTACAATGGCTTCAATACAGAATAAATCAACACATTTTAACAACAAACTCTTATCTAGTTAAAGCAGCTCTTACCGATAGTGCTCTTTGTTTTCAATGTAAGACTGAAATAGAGACAATAATTTACACACTATGGGAATGTGAGAAAGTACAAGACTTTTTACAAAATTTTGAATTCCTTCTTGATGCATTGTTAATCCCATTTGGTTTTAACAAGGAAACCTTCATTTTCGGTTTATTTAATCAAATTAGTATCAGTAGTAGGGTGGATAATACCATAATTTTACTTATAAAACAATATATTTATAAATCGAGATGTTTACAAATGTCATTGTCAGTAGCTGCACTTAAGAACGTTATCAAGGACACATATTTTACTCAGAGATATATTGCTGTTAATAAAAGTGAATTATTTTATTGAAATTCAATACTGAGTAGAAAAAATGGGAAAGTCTAATTAATATTGCTTAAACCCTGTCTTTGCCAAAATATGAACATATAACTATCGAGTTTTCTTATATAAACATGTACTTCTAAATACTTATATGTAAAACTCCTTAAACCTTCCAACACATCTATATAGCTTCTTTATTTCTCAATATCCACCCCCCACCCCCACCCCCCTCGTTTTTTTTGTTTTTTTTTCGTTTTTTTTCTTTTCTTTCTTCGTTTTTGTTCTCTCTCTCTTAGTCTTACTTTCCCTTCTATACCTCTAGGACCTGCTCTAACCTCTTTTCTATCACTTCTTAACAATGCTTTTATATAACGGACACAATTTAGATGGAATTTAATTATACATAAACATAATTAATTATTAATTATACCTGGAAATATGCAGTTTTATTATAAATGAATATTTAATGAATGAATTGTAATGTGTGAGAGGAATAATGTTTATGTATGATATATTTGCATTGTTATAAATTTGGAAAAAAAAAAAATACAAAAAAAAACAAACTTTCTGTTAATACTACATTCAGAATGTGAAACGTTCAAATGATGTAAAATAAAAAGGATTTTTTTTCTTACATTGGACTATTCAAATAATATTTCGGATGGCCCAACGGGCCCATTTTAAACAAAGATATTTCTAGTCAAATGTTGGCACGTTTCTTTTTTTAAATACTGCTCCATAAGTGAATTATGAAATCGCTCAGCAATTTTTGTGACATACAACATTTTTATCAATTAAAATAAAGTACGTTTATTGTGTAAACATTACCTCTGCTCCTGTCGAACACATAGTAATGTGTAAACATTACCTCTGCTCCTGTTCAACACATAGTAATGTGTAAACAGTAATGTGTAAACATTACCTCTGACGCAGTCGAACACATAGTAATGTTTTAACATTAGCTCTGACGCAATCGAGCATATTGTAATGTGTAAACATTACCTCTGTCCGTGTCGAACACATTGTAATGTGTAAACACTACCTCTGTTCCTGTCGAATACACAGAAATGTGTAAACATTACCTCTGACACAATCGAACACATAGTAATGTGTTAACATTACCTCTCACGCAATCGAACACATAGTTATGTGTAAACATTACCTCTGGACCTGTCGAGCACATAGTAATGTGTAAACATTACCTCTGCTCCTGTCAAACACATAGTAATGTGTAAACATTACCTCTCACGCAATCGAACACATA